CATCTACCTGTGACACTACCACTGGTCGTAGAAACTGTTTCATCCTCTACCCTCGAGCAGATCAACACTCCCGCCCCACTTGCTGTCATCTGCAAACTTACTGAGGGTGCACTCGATCCCCTCATCCAGATCATTGATAAAGATATTAAACAGAACTACTTCAGAAAAAAGAGACATGAAAAGCAGTTCAAAGTAATGCCTGATGCTTACAAAGCATCAGGAGCATGAATCAGCGCTAATACCAAGCTATTTCTGATCATCCATAGCAAGAATGTTCACTAGATGTGGATGATATGCTTCAGATATACATTTCCCTCATGTTTACTGTCTTATAAATAGCCCACAGCTCTTTAGTTGAATTTCTAAGATGTTTATGATAGCACACAGAATAGCCCACATCTACTAAAATCTTGTGGCTTTTGCTATGAGAAGACATACGGTGCGAGCCAGGAATTGCAAAATGACCACGTACCACAACAGGTAAGACAAAGCATATCCTCCACTTTTTTTTTTTTAAACTTTTCATCAGACAGCAATGAATCTTTATCACAGCCAAGTCTTCTGAAGATAAAGATGTTGCACTTTTCAGCTGGCACTTCACTTGAGGCAGAATTCCATAGGGACAAATCCTGAACCTTTTTTAATGCTCAGACTGTCCCAGACTTATTTCTTGTCAAGTCTCATAAGCAGTGAAAGGGATCGTGGATAGTGATCTTCCCACTCGCACTACACAAAGATTCCTTTCAAGGTCTATTAATAGAACTCGATTATAGGACAAACTTATCTATTGTTCAAAATCAAAGAGTGATTTTCTCCATTAAAATGATCAAAAGCCTCTAAGGTTGGTATAGTTCTTACATGCAACATCTGGTATTTCTCATCAGTGAAAAGACACTGACAGTTCCCACTCATAGCCTCAGGATTTTCTTCATAGTAATAAACAGGAACACCTGCACCTGGTCTTTCTATTAGTGGCTATCTGTAAGCATTCCAAACCCTTTAAAACCTGTTTTCCAGAAACACTGAACCTCTTCAGGGAGATAAAGGAGACCAATTCTGTTCTTTGAAAAAATGAAGTAGTATTTTGCTTTCTTCTTCAGTATTCACATTTTCTTCTTTGTTTGTAGACATGTATTGGGTTTGCGTGGCAAGGTTTTGGTAGTGGGGGAGCTGCAGGGGTGGCTTCTGTGAGAAGCTGCTAGAAGCTTCCCCCATGTCCGATGGAGCCGATGCCAGACAGCTCCAAGACAGACCTGCCTCTGGCCAAGGCCGAGCCAGTCAGCAACGGTGGTAGCGCCTCTGTGATAACATATTTAAGAAGGGGAAAAAAAACCTTGTGCAACTGCAGCCAAAGAGAGGAGTGGGAAAATGTGAGAGAAACAGCTCTGCAGACACCATGGTCAGCGAAGAAGGAGGGGGAAGAGTGTGAGGAGGATGGAACAGCAGAAACAATGTGTGACGAACTTACCGCAACCCCCACTCCCTGTCCCCCTGTGCTGCTGGAGGGGGAGGAGGTAGAGAAAATCGGGAGTGAAGTTGAGCCTGGGAAGAATGGAGGGGTGGGGGGAAGGTGTTTTAAGATTTGGTTTTATTTCTCATTACCCTACTATGATTTGATTGGCACTAAATTAAATTAATTTCCCCGAGTCGAGTCTGTTTCGCCCGTGACGGTAATTGCTGAGTGATCTCTCCCTGTCCTTATCTCGACCCAGGAGCATTTCATTGTATTTTTCTCTCCCCTGTCCAGCTGAGGAGGGGGAGTGATAGAGCAGCTTTCGTAGGCACCTGGCATCGAACTAATTTTAACCTGACAAAGCTTTCTGTAAAGAACAACAAGCCTTCCCGACACTCCCACCAAGGCTGCTGAACCTGCTGTAAGAAGAAAGAAAAAAAAAAAAAGATGCATTCAACTAATTATATCACATAAAAAAGCAGGTTTGTTTTCATGCAAACAAGTTCTTGTAATTTTGGTTTTGAACAAGTCCCTGGGAGCTTTGTACCATGTGCTAAACATCGAGATCAAACAGCAGCGAGTAGGTAGTACAATGCTATAACATACAATATTGACAGGAGAGGGAAGTGCCTGTTGGGGAAGGTATTCACAGAGGTTAACATTAGCCCCTGCAGGCTAATGCCTGAATGGCTTTCTCTAGTCAGTAAAGAGAGAAAGGCTCCTCCAGAGGGCGATTCAGAACTGAAGATTCATTTAGCTACTCTGAATCTCTCTCTGGAGGAACCTCACTTCCATTAACTTCAAGAAACAGCCTGCAGAGATTAGCCTCAAAAAGATCATGCTAGCCTTTGTGAATACTCCCCGGTATTTGCCTTCCATCAGTAGGAACAGTGGCTGAAATTCACTACTGAGATGTATAGTTGGGTATACTGTATTTAAATCTGAACACCATGTATTGTACATGGACTGAGTTTTACCCAGCTGGAGCTTAGTGCTCCTGCCAAAATCACTGAAACAGTCTCCAGAGCACTACTAGGATGACTGCAGGATTTAGTTTTTTTCCACTGCCCTATTAAAGTGCTCCATTTGACGGCCACCCGCATGCTGCCGTACAAAGGACTGCTGTGCCCCCAGCACCTTCAGAATCCACTAACATTCTGCAGTCGTACTGGCACAGCTCCTTCTCTTGCTCCAGCTGCTCATTGTATCGCTGGAGCAGCAGCAGGAGCTGGGTTTTCACCACCAACCTAAACACAAAGAAGAAAAATTCTCAACTTTTGAGACCTGATGTCAACAATTTTTATGGTTATTATTTAGTAGCAACAAGAGAGGAAAATGGTCTTTTAATCTCAAACACAGAATAAAGTCAGATTTTGTGGCTTGGGAACACAAGGAAGAAAGCCATAGCACTGTCAGAACCATTATCAGGGCCATTTCCTAAGTCTTCCAGTTCTTCTATACTTCATCAGGTCATTGTGCTTCCCTCCCTGAAAAACTTCCATGACATCTTCAAATTCTATCAAATAATACATTTGAGAAAAGTAAGACTACTATAATATTGTATAAACCAAAAGAATGATTACAGCTCTTAAAAAGTTTTGGTGGAACTTTTCACATCAACGCTTTATGATTCTGCCAAAAATTTTCTTCACAGAGTATCTTTGTAATATAAACCAGCCATCCTTTTTCAAATGTAAAATACAGGAAAAAAAAGACCCTTTAAATTTACTTCAGCAAAGGCGTGACAAAGTTAATCACAAACAATGGAAGTCTTTCATTTAACATCAGTCAAGTCATAACCAGAGCCAAAGACAATACAAACTCCAGGCAGAGTTGATGTCCAAAGTACACCTTAAAGTATGGTTAGACAAACCAGTACCAGTCTGAGAGTACAGCCCTCTTTTCACAATCTCATGACAACTCCCAAGCCCTCAGAAGTCTGGTTCCAAACTTAAATTTTTCCTTTACAACCATGTCAAACATGAGTTGGACATAACAAAATGAACTTGTAAACTTCAAATCAACTTGCAAACATCTGCTAAGTACATCTTACCACTGAAATCAAGCCTCTTTACCAAACAGAAAAGTTGTGTTCAGATTTGAGACCATGTTGAGACAAAGGTGTAATGAATACAGGAAGTACTATAAAGACGAGTTATTGTGCCAAATGAACAGATCCTCTGCACGTCACATAAACTACTTGCAATGCAGTATGTCAAGCACTTTATGCTATCTGCGTTATTACCTAAGTAACAGCGTAAGAAATGTTAGCCCCCATCTGAAATGCGGCTGAGGGAACTGGAGTTGTTTAGCCTGGAGAAAAGGAGGCTGAGGGGAGACCTCATCGCTCTCTACAACTACCTGAAAGGAGGTTGTAGCGAGGTGGGTGTCGGTCTCTTCTCCCAAGTAACTAGCGATAGGACGAGAGGAAATGGCCTCAAGTTGCGCCAGGGGAGGTTTAGATTGGATGTGAGGAAAAAATTCTTTACTGAAAGAGTGGTTAAACATTGGACCAGGCTGCCCAGGGAAGTGGTGGAGTCCCCATCCCTGGAGGTCTTTAAAAGACGTGTAGATGAGGCACTTAGGGACATGGTTTAGTGGGCATGGTGGTATTGGGTCGATGGTTGGACTTGATGATCTTAGAGGTCTTTTCCAACCTCAATGATTCTATGATTCTATGATTCTATGATTC